ATGATGTCAATTTAAAACTAAACTAAGGCACACTTTCAGTTAATATTTATTTTTCCGGCGACACTATCTCCACAGTTAACCGTCAGGCAATCCACATCATTGTTTTATCTTCATCAACTCTAAATATATATCTCCTTACAACCTCAACTTAACATATTGTATTAAATCCACTAAGTTACACGGCATTCTCTGTAATTACGACCCTTTTCATCAGTTGTACATCTTTTGCCCATTAACTAACAATTTCCCGCGCAAAAAATCCCATCCCATCATCATCCCGCTTGAATACAAATAACCCATCGAAGTAGCCCTATTTGAAAACATACAAAATTCATTTTTAACCATAAATTTTACAACCTATTACAAAATTCTAACGACGAGTTTTCAGCTGTTATCGAGGAATTCAATATCATCAGAGCGCTTGAAAATTTTGTCCACTGCTTTTTAATCAAGATGTAATACGCATGCTTGCCAATTTTTTTTAATCCCTTCCGACGCTACGAAACTTAACTTTCCCCACGGATTTTATCCCGACCCAGAATCTTCGTAAGTATGCATTTGTTTTCTTACTAAACCGAATACATAGAGCAACTCACCATTTTTACCCGTGTGTTTCACCTTTTTCTTTTAGATTCCACCTGATTTTCATCTAAAAGAATAAAATAAAATAGAAAGAAATAAAAATAAAACTCTTATTAGAATTTTCAATTTTCAATCTAACTGTGCATCATAAACTATATCAGTGAAGTAAAATTAATACAAAAGCAAAAGATTTTTAAATATAGTGTAATTTCATATCATGAAGTTAATAATTGTTACTAAACTTTTTCTGTGTGCTTTCTTTTAAGTTTTGATTTTTTTCACTCGCCCACAATTCACGCACTCTTTCCACCAAAATTGAGTAACTCGCCCTAAACTTGGTTTCACGCGTTTTCAAGTTAATCCGGTTGGAAGGAAATATAAATAAGCTTACACTAACAAACGCAGCTTACTAATGCCACAAAAACAACCGCATGTAAGAGAAAGTCTCACGTACTCAAACCAGATTAAACTCAGATTAAAACTGGATTGAATTATTCTCTTGAAACCCATTTTCAAAATTTTTTAAAACCAAATGAAACACTAAAAAATCAAAAGAACCACACAAAACATGCCAATCTATTTTTGATAAAAGGACACAACCATAAAACAAAAGAGAGAAACACCCGATAAAAAAGAACAAAAAACAAAAAACTTGAATACAAAAAGAAACTCTACTCAAAAAGACAGTGAAAAAACAAATTCCTCTGGCCTCAGCCATCAGAACGACACCGCTCGAAGTACATGTGCCGACAAGATCCCGACCCACAATTTTTTTAAGAGTAGTTCAAAGGTGAGCGACTCTTTATAATGACCGAACTAATGAAATGCTTCTGCGACAACCACAACTAAAAAAATCATAACTAAAATTGATCTCACTAATAAGATGCAAATCTAAATAAACAATGTAAAAAGATTTCTTAGAGCAAAGTAAACGAGCAGCAAAAGGACATGAAAACTCGATGGTATTCCGACTCTGGAAAGGCAAACCTTTTGGTTTGTTGCCGTAGTCACAACGCTCAGAGGATTTAAATTATAGAGCCAACACCGCAGCAAAAGTTACCCATTGAAGAAGAACATTGGCCAACTCGATGTTGAGCTCATATACGAATCCTAGAAACTTGACACTTCACACAGAGAATTCAAACCCTATATCGCTAATCGATGAATAGTTGAGAATGCACCTAGTTAAGCTCTACATAACGGAATCAACACATCACTGATCAGTTCTGAAAACTCGACAGGACCACTGAAGACGATAACTCAACACGATCTGGATACAAGACCCACTTCTGAAGTACAAGAAACTGTACCCATCTCTCTCCACGAAGACAACACAAGCATTACCCCACAACACAAGTAACTGTTTCTTTCTCCTCCTTCCCGCAACCACTGCCTCAACAGAACCTACTCCAATAATCAAGAAACTTCGCCATCCATCTTTCACAACAAACATTAAACTCAAAATCTTTCTAATCCCCCGGATGGGTGGAACCAGTTTAAAACTAGTATTTCTATCCAATTATATCTTTGATTTTATAAAATTCTTCCCACTAACCAATCATGATCCATATCTAAACACTAAGAATAATTTGTAAGTCTGAAACTATTTATAATTTCAGCCAGAACGGAATTAATTTAACTTAGCAAGCAGTTCTTCTTCTCCAGAACCATTTCTGTTATCTTATCTCACAAATACCAGTATACTTTAGATCTATTGAGACTAGGATATATAAGACTAAGATTCAGATCGGTATTAGACTAAGAAGTTGCACGAACCTATCCGGCCAAAAATAAGATAGAGTGACGAACAGACGGTGTACCTTATCTGAAATTTCTCTATGAGTGAGCCACCCCGGACATAAACTCACAATATTAACAGCTACCCTTAAAAAGCTGACAATTAATACAATCAAAGTTATCAGCCCTTGATTAAACTGGAGTTCAAAAAACTTATTTTAGTTTACTTTCAAAAGAACCAAGTGCAGTTTTATTTTCTTTATTTATAAAAGCAAGTGAATACTTGTCAGTCGAGTTAATCTTAAATTATTGTAGTTAATTAAAAATATATATCCTGTGAATTAAAACAAGAGGCTTTGCATGTTTTTTTTTGCTAAGATTGGTGTCGATATAAAAGGTGGTAAATTCACGTGGAGCCAAGGTCATTGGGAAGCCCAGACATTCGAGACAAAAGCTTTTTACTGTTTTTGAGTCCTCAATGTTCTTCTAACTCTCATTACAGAAAAAATCAGCATTTGGATTACATTATTAAAAATGTAATTTCCAATAAAAATGAGTTCAAAAAGACCACTGTGGTAAGAGAATGGTAAAATGGCTTTCATCAAACTTCTTTTTTATTTGAGTTGTAGTTCCAGAAAAATGATGAAATGATTGTATTCGGATGTACATTCTCTCCAGGAAAAGTTTTTATCTTGTGCTGAACACGTATGCAGACGAATTCGAATTGGGAGGGGGTTTGGTTCATGTGGGGGGGGGGGGTTTGTTCAGGAGGGGGCTTTCAGGTAGGGGGGTGGGGTTCAGGTGGGGAGTTCAGTGGGGGTAAGGGGTGGTTCAGTGGGAGGGGGTTGAGTGGGGGGGGGGGGGGGGGTTGGTTCATGTGGCGGGGGGTTGGTTCATGTCGCGGGGGGTTGGGTTGTTCAGGAGGGGATTTCAGATAGGGGTTTCAGGTGGGGGGTTCAGTGGGGGGGGGGGGGGTTGAGTGGGGGGAGGGGAGCAAAGGGGCAAACGTAAGGGGGATTGAAGGGGAGCAAAAGGACAAACGTTACGGGGAGGGGGGGGGGTGTGGTGAACTTAACGGAAGCTTTTTGCAAATTGAGGTTAAGTTTAGAAATGGGTTAGGCCGTACACTCGCTTTGCAAATTTCCGCATAACTCACTTGATAAATGCAGAAATTCTTGCAAAATTTTGCGCGACGCGCGAAACAAAAATAAAGTGGAAAAAATCCATTTTAATGTGATTTCCTACTTATTATAAAATCCCTTATAATGGATACCAAGTGAATAATACTGCATTTTGTTTTGGCGAGTAAAAATGGATTTAAATCCATTTTTAGTCCAATTTTGGGCTCCTTTTCCTTTTCCCCCCACCTCACAGGAGCATCAATTTTATATGGTCTAAAGAGTAATTTTACAAGGTTAAGTATGAAGACCAAATATGTTTGCCATGGCCTAATTTATTCGCGTGTCAATTTTCATAACAATCGGACAATGCGAACAGTAATTTTAATTATAAAAACTTGCAGGTGGGGGGAAAAGGAAAAAGAGCCCAATTTTGTTGTCTGAACTTAACATGTGAATCGATTATATTTACAATTTTATAGACCACGAAAATCCATTATAATCGATTTGTTTTCACTTTTCTTAAATGCGGGTTTTTACTAGATCAACCTAGCTATCTCCTCCTAGATGCTAGTGCCCTAATTGGAAGTTTTGCCCTGGTTAAAAATTTCCCTGCCAGCTCCCACCCTGGCGAACTGTGAGCTTGAGCACAGAATTACTTGTTTTTTTTTTAATAAACAATTCGTGTCTCGGGACTGCAAAATTCGCAGAACATATCAGCCCCATTCTAGTCCTTAAAGATTCTCAATTAATCAAGCTAAAATTGGCTAGCATATTTGGGACGAATTCTGATATAATGTGTATTTCATTTACTAAAACAAAATCTGGCGCAGAAAGTATTGCGTTTGTACTCGAAGTTTTGGCAAGATCAGTTTCGTTTAACAAAATTGAGCCGGTTGAGAAAATGTTTCAATGTTTTTGACGTCTCGGAATTAAATCTAAGTAGTAGTTAGAATATAGTTGAAAGATGCCCGAGGAAAAAAGAGCCCGGCCCGATGCCATCTTCAAATATGTTCTAACTTTTGAAGAGTATGTTTTTGCTCTTTCTGAGGTAAAGATGCCAGAAAATGTGAAAGAGCCCGGAAACTTGAGAAAGAGCCCGTAAAAGTGCGCGAAACTATGCAAATGATTTCTTTTTTCATTCATGCGTTCTAATATTTCATTTTTCATTCATGCCTTGTCGTGAAAGAACACGAGTGAAAGAGCAAAAACATACACTTCCACATTTGAACTCACGAAAAACCAGCGGGTAAAAAACATCCAATTATTGTTGAGTGACTGTATTTTTTGTGCCCGATAAAGACTCCAAAGACACCGTTATCGCAAAAACAATTTGGCTTCAACTATCCAACAAGGTAACAAAAATGCTAGTTATACAAACCCTTTTTTATGGGAATTTACTGACTATAAGCTGACTATACTTTTATAAAAATCACGAAATTGTGTGAGTTGCATTGTCGGTACGTGGAGGGTAAACCGGGCTGAAATTGTTTTCGCAAAAGATTGATTTTATAGTAATGAAAATTGAAAAAAATTTCATTGAAAATTTTGCCATCGTTTCAGGACAAAAACGCTGTGGCAAGGAGATTACAACACTGCAGAATATTTGCGTGATGTAAAGTGTTCCGATTTACAAAAAGAGGAGCTTTTTTGTATTGGACACCCAGGTTTCTGCGCAAAAATGAACGAGTACACTCGGCAAGGGAGGCCGAATGATGGAAAACTTTGTCGGTTCTTTGACGGATCGGACAAATGTGAGGTACATAAATATGCGGATGTTTATGACTTCATATTTCGAGATATACGACACTTGAAAATGGAAATGCTTGAAATCGGGATAGGATCAAAGAGTCGCAAGTTTCAATTCACCAGTGCTCCAAGATGGATCATCGGTGCTTCGCAACGTGCTTGGAGGGATTATTTCCCCAAATCCCAGATCTATGCGGCCGATATTGACCCAGACGTGCTTTTTGAAGAGGAACGAATCAAAAGTTTTTATGTCGACATCCTTAAAAACAAAACCCTTCACGAGATGATAGAGAAAATAGGGAGCAAGCTGGACATTCTGGTTGACGACTCCCTTCACAATGTGGAAGGCCAGAACAACTTGATTTCTGTGGCCTATGACTGGATAAATCCAGGGGGCTATTACGTCGTAGAAGATGTCGTCATCGATACTGTCTGCACTGAAATGATCAAGACTCTTTTGAAGAAAGGCATAAACGACTTTGCTTATGTTAAAACAGCTGACACCTTTTTCAAGGACAGCGTCTTGCAAATCATCCGAAAACCCGACCGCCACTAATACTAGGCTCACTTTTAACTCACTCGAATGCAGTCATTTGTAGATTGATAAAATCATTTAAAAATGTAAATATTACTTTTAAAATAATTATTTTCGTAATACTGTTGTTAGAAATTGAGCGAAATTTAGATTGCGTTTATGTTTACATGTTTATTTTCCTGCTGCTCCATGTATATAAAAAGTATATCTTATAGTTTTGAAAAAAAAACATGTACAATTAAACATTTCTTCTGCACTTTTTGCATTAAACATTCCCAAAATTTTGAAAATATGGGTTTGCGCGTCAATCTCCACAATTCGTAAGAAATCATCGAATTTCAAACAATTGAATTAAAGAGCATTTTCTTGGCAAAACAATTTTTGTAACAACGATATTTTTACTTTATCATTGTTAATATCGGCCATAATCATCTGAATAACTCAAAGCAAGCTGCTAAATGGCCAGTATTTGTCCTTGAGACAAATTGCTCTTTTTGACGGTCAGCCTTAATTAAGGCTGAATCGAATTAGAGCGAAAAAACGGTTAAAGTAGTTTTTTTTTTGGGGGGGGGGGGGTTCGAACCTGGTTACCGAGCGTAAATTCATGTCCCATCAAGTTCGGAGCATATTTGAATTCTAGAAAGGAAATGACTTAGGCGGGGTTCGAACCTACGCCGAACCCGCCGGGACGCACCCTGTATGCGCTCGGCTACTGTCCCTATATGAATTTCTATTTTGGTTCTTTTTATATGCATTTATAATCGTTACATTTGCGCTGCAACATCCTCCACCCCCAAACAAGGAAGAACGAGAACGAGCTTTAGGGTCGGGCAGGTAAGTTCACTCGTAACGGTCTTTATGTCGGCAGATCTCGCGCATCCGTCCTTGCCGTAGTGCAGTCTAAGGATACGTGCGAGTCGATAACGCCCACTTGGAGTGTCATGCTGCTCTATGACCCAAACCAAGTAGTCGGCTTTCAACATAACGTCTGATTGGTTGTGCCACTTTGCCCCCCTATTGAGGGAAGGAAGGTATTCCCGCATCCACCGTGTCCATATTGCGTTAGCGTATGATTGCACTCTGGCGAACCGTTTCTTATGGTCGAAGTTTTCTTCGAAACTTAGCGAAGTTAAACTCGCTGCGTGTTGACCAAGGATAAAATGATTCGGGGTCAACACCTCTAGATCTAGCTGATTGGAACTAACGGCTGTTATCGGTCTAGCGTTAAATGATTGCTCAACAAGGCACACCATGGTGCAGTGCGCTGGGTGGATTGAATTTCCACTTGATCCCTTACTGGGCGAAAACAGCGGGTGCGAACTTGTTCCAACTATCAACGCAACCTAAGAGCTCTTGCTGAGCGCCATCAAAGTTCGTGCCGCTGTCGGACATGATGGTAGTCGGAGTACCAGGACGTGCAATAAACCTCTCCACGCCCAAAACACAAGAGCTTGTGTCGAGAGAGGGGACCACTTCAATCTGCACCGCTCTAGTGGTGATACAGGTGAAAAAAAAAACAATTCTTTTCCGTACTTCCCCGGATCGGAACTAGGAACGGCCCAAAGTAGTCGACACCTGTGTTAGAGAAAGGAGGTTGCTTGTAACCCAGCCTTTCAATTTGCAGATCAGACATTATATGAGTTGGGGTTTGCACTTCGCGTTTTCGGCACGCAACGCAAATATTTTCAATGTTTCGCAGCAACCATCGCAAATTTAACACAACGTATTTCAAATTAACCACCGCACGCATGTAATCAAAGCTTTGATTGAAGTTTCTAACGTGCAAATGTCTAACCAATAACCGAACAATCGCATGACGTGCATCAAGTATAATCTGATGCTTGCTATCGAAATCGGAATTAACCAAGCGGCTGATGCGCCCAGTTGAAGAAGGATGCCAGCTGGTCCAATGAATGGCGAATACTTGGCGATCCGAATATTCCTCGTGATAACTTTATCGGATCTTAAAAGTTATAGATCGCTTGGGAATGTCTCACCCTGGGACAGGTAAATGAGCTTCTGTTCATCAATGTCCATTTCACACGGTTCAATAATTTCTAATATACTCGACCGGAAATGCTTATGGGATGGCAGCCATTTAACATAAATGCTACTGTGCGTTTGTTTTTTACAATTGAATTGAATCTCTCCCATTTTTTGAATGGATGAATTTTAATGAAATTTCCAGACAAATGTCGACATCACATGAAGGTCCCTTGAGTCTTATTTATATCAATAACCATTGTATCGGGCTTGAACGGCCAATCAGTCGTCCTCAGTATACTAGGACCATTAACCCAGCTGCTTTCCCTGAGGGCTTCCGAAGAAATCCCTCGTGTACCGGTATCAGCTGGGTTATCACGGCTAAGTATGTGATGCCACTGATCAGTGGTGTAGGATTCCAGAATCTCACCAGTGCGATTGCCAACAAAAACGGGTAGTTTACTGCAGGGGTTAGGCCACTGAAGAACAGTGGTATTATCTGTCCACATGAAAATATCCGTAACTTTGAAAATAAGACCTTTCAAAGTTTCTTCTTTTAAACGGGTTGCAAGAAGAGCCGCTTGAAGCTCTAACTTTGGAATGGATAGCGCTTTCATAGGCGTAACGCGGGCTTTGCCAAATACAAAGGCTAATTGGGTCTGACTCGAACTAGCAAGTCGCGCACGAAGGAAAGCGACGGCACAGAAAACATCCAGCAAACTATCACCGAACATGCGAAATTCTATTCGGTCGAAAGCGTCAGTGAAATAGCTACGAGGTATTGTCAGGGAACTTAACAAATGAAGACCTGAGTGCCACTCAAGGAACTGCTTTTTGATTTCCTCTGGGAGATCATCGTCCCATTTTTTACCACTGATTCGAAAAATATCTTTTAATAGAAGGCGAGCTTTCACGGTATACAGGGCCACTAATTCAATTGGATCAAAAACAGAGGAAACAAAACTCAACACCGTACGCTGGATGGTTGCTCTACTAACGACTAAGGCATCTTTTACGTGATCCCACTTAAGACCGAGAACATGCGACGACTGGTCTGGACTCCTACGAATATCTTTAATAGAGTGAAGTTCAATGTGAATTTCAATTCGGTCGAAAGGGTCAGTGAAATAGCTACCTGGTATTGTCAGAGAACCTAACAATTGAAGACCTGAGTGCCACTCAATGAACTGCTTTTTGATTTCCTCTGGGAGAATATCGTCCCATTTTTGACCGCTGATTCGCCAGATATCTTTTAATAGAAGGCGAGCCTTCACAGTATACGGAGCCACTAATCAAATTGGATTAAAAACAGAGGAAACAAAATCTAGGTGATTGTTTTGTCTAGTGGACGATCAACCCCTCTACTAACGACTAAGTTATCTTTTACGCGATCCTACTTAAGACCGAGAACATGCGACGACTGGTCTGGACTCCTACAAATATCTATAACAGAGCAAAAGGACTCACGGTTGTCCGGGTCAAGAGCGGTTGTTACATCGTGCACGTTGCTGACAAAGTGTGTCAGATGAAACCCACCTAGCTTAAGCAACGAGACTAAATTGCTACCTTCTGGGCAACAGCCGAAGCAGCTTCTGAGCTTGATGATCCGATGCAGTCTTCTGCAAAGCAAAATTTGCACAAATTGGCGAGACACGAGCACCAAAAATGTGACGTGTGTGTTGGTGAACTACCACACTTGATGTGGGGTTCTCCCGCCACAAAAAGTGAAGAGAAGTTTGATCTTCTTCACGGACACCAACCTGTAAGAACATCCCTTCAATGTCAGCTGAAACTACTTATTTATGCTGACGGAATCTAAAAAATACAAAAATGAGGTTTTGAATGAGATCCGGGCCAACCAACAGAGATTTGTTCAAGGGAGCGCCATGACACTTCGATTCACCATTGAGGACTCGGCGCACCTTACCGGGTTTGTTTGGGTTCAAAACCGGATGATGCGGGAGATACCACATACAATCGGCTCGTGATTTAGGATCGTGCCTTAACGGTTTGACATATCCTTTTTGTATATCATTTCTAATTGTTTAGGCATTTTTCTCATGGAGCGACGGATCCTTATCTAGCCTCCTTTCCGAAGACTTTAATTGAGCTAAGGAGGAAAAATAGTTATTCGGTAAAAAAACTTTCATTATCGTCCCGAAGCATTGGTACAGAGTACCTCTCACCATCGTGAAAGAAGTCATTTTTCAAAACGAACAAAGCGCGTTTGACGGCGGCGGAATGGGCATCTACTTGCTTGAAGACTCCATACGACTCCAACTCATTCCAAATTTTATTTTGTTCCGCAAGAGACATGTCTTCGACAACACACTTAGAGCAAGACGAGTTCGACTTAAAGGACGGCGGTAACGGACCACTTAAAACCCAACCTATCAGAAAGCGTACGGCTCACGGTAAAATAGAGTCCTCCCCCAGAAGGTACTCAAAGGGTCTTATTGCGTGGTAAAAATTCTGTCCAAAAATTATTTCGGCTTCCTCGTACTTATAATGTATAGGTTTTATCGGAACCAACTGCGGGTATTTTTCCTGTAATTCAGGAATAATTATCCTATCCGATCCAATACGGATATGATCCTTAACCTCAGCTCAAAAAATAAACAAAGTTTCATTTTTTCTGTTTTGGCGGAAACTTTAAAACTTATTTGATGAGTTTTCATCAAGCTCGTGGAATTTATTCCATTTATGGTGAAGTTAACGGGAGTGCCAACCAAATGGAGACGTTTTAAGAGATCGGCGGATATCCATGAGTGCGTGGAAGCATCATCGCAAAGAACTATGGCATTAGTTGACTCCTCGCTATGAATATCGCCGACGACAGCCTTAGTCGATACATATTTAGTGTTTGCGTTACCTTACGCCGGGGAACTTTTAGTATTTATAGGAAGAACAATTTTTTCAGCTCCATGTAAGAGCACGCTGTGCGTTCTTTCACAATCTGGCTTTGGGCACTTTTTGGCCATGCTACAATTACGAAAACTGTGATTGCTCAGTGTTTTTTTCTTTGCGTAGCGTTTTTTTCTTTGAATACGGCGCAATTCTGTTTTTATTACTTCGTTCAGCATCCTGATCTGATAAGGAGGGACGAGTTTCTTGACAGGAACAGATTTGGTGGTAACAACCCATTGCTTCGAATATTGTTTTACAGTGATCACTATAACCGTCCAAGTTAAAACTTTCGAG